AACGCCGCAGTACCCCCGACGACAGGAAGATCAGGCGCACGTTCCCCCAGAGTGACCTGCGCCGAGGAAGACAGACGTCTGGAGGACGGCCGACCGACGCCCGCTGTGTGACCACTGTGGGGAAGCTGACCATGTGTACGGCCGATGCCCATACCGACGACTCGGGCTGCGCGGATTCCACCCAAACGACCCGCGCCCCCGGTATGGTGAACGCCTTCGGGAGATCGACTAGTACCTGCAACGACCTCAGTCCCCCGAGCCTGCGTCCCGCCGAGAGTTCCGGTCGCCGTAACCGCGACGTCCAGCTTTGCCGATGCACCGACCCCGACGTGAAAGCCTGTCGCCCCTCGCTCCTCGCCGGGGAAACTAGTCGCAGCAACCCCTGGAGGTGGAGTTGCAGAAGACGACCGACGTAAAGAGCCTCCAAGAACGACGGGGCGCTCCCACTCTCTCGACGCTACGGATAACAACGACGTCCCTGCATCGGTGTCCAACAACCTAAACGTTATAATTGACGGCCACGACGCATCGGCACTTGTGGACACCGGAGCAGACTACTCAGTCTTGAGTGGGAGGCTCTCTCGACGCCTGCGAAAAGTCATGACGCCGTGCGATGGACCCCACATACGAACCGCCGGAGGACATCTCATCACGCCAGTCGGGAGATGCACTGCTCGCGTCGAGATCCACGGTCAAACGTGCCCTGTGAAGTTCGTCGTTCTGCAAGACTGTTCGAGGGACGTTATCCTCGGAATGAACTTTCTCTGCGAGTATGGCGCCGTCATCGACCTCGGGGCAAACCAGTTGACGCTGCGAAAACCTGTTTTACCGTCGGTGGGGACCAACACGACGTCAACCGCGATCCGAGTTATCGCCGACCATGTGAACCTACCGCCGCGGTCCAGTGTTTTCGTCACCGTTAGAACCGACGCAGCCATGCACGGTGAAGCTCTTCTGGAAGGCAGCGTAAAACTGCTCCTCGAAAAAGGAATTGGTGTCGCAAGAGGCGTAACGGATCTCCAAGAAAGACGTACAATTAACTGTTCTTGGGACGAACTTTCGAGAGGAGCCGCAGCACGTAACGAAGGGTACCACCGTGGGCCACGTCGAGGAGCTTCAGGCGCCAGCTGTGGTCACCGCAATCTTCGAGGAAACCTCGTCGCCACAGCAGAAGAGCACGACGCCGCCACCGCTCGACATCGACCCCGAGCTCCCAGCTACGAAGCGCCGGCAACTGGTTGATCTCCTTGCCGAATACAGTGACTGTTTTGCCACGACATCGAAGATTCGCCAAACACCAATGGCGAAACATCGCATTGTTACCGACGACGACGCACTTCCTGTCCACCAGTCGCCATACCGAGTCTCCTTAAAGGAAAGGAAAGTGATTCAAGATAAAGTCCAGGAGATGCTCGACGACGACATCATTCAACCCTCAAGGAGCCCATGGGCGTCCCCAGTCGTCCTTGTAAAGAAGGACGGAGCCCTGCGGTTCTGCGTGGACTATCGTCGACTGAACGCTGTGACGAAGGACGTCTATCCGCTCCCCCGCATCGACGATACGTTAGACCGACTGCGCCTCTCCCGATATTTTTCGTCGATGGACCTGAAGAGTGGTTACTGACAGATTGAAGTCGTCGAACGTGACCGGGAGAAAACTGCCTTCGTCACTCCCGATGGACTGTACGAATTCAAAGTGATGCCGTTCGGACTTTGTACAGCACCAGCCACCTTCCAGCGCGTCATGGACACCGTGCTGGCAGGTCTGAAATGGCAGAGCTGCCTCGTCTACCTGGACGATGTCGTGGTATTCTCACTAAATTTCGACGAACACCTCAGACGACTTCGAGCCGTGCTTCAAGTCATCAAGACCGCCGGCCTGTCACTCAAGCCAACAAAGTGTCGGTTCGCCTATGGGGAACTAAAGTTCCTTGGCCACGTCGTGAACAACAAGGGTGTTCTACCTGACCCCGAGAAGACCCGCGCCGTAGCTGCATTTACGCCGCCGTCTGACAAGAAGGCCGTGAGAAGATTTCTCGGACTCTGTGCCTACTACAGGCGCTTTGTTCGATACTTCGCCAAGCTATCCGCACCGCTGACACACCTCACGAAGGACGCCGTAAAGTTCGAGTGGACAGAAGAACACCAGAGGTCATTCGACGAGCTCAAACGAAGACTCCAGACGCCCCCAATTCTTGGCCATTTCGACCAGTTTGCTGAAACCGAGATCCACACCGACGCCAGTAACACCGGACTGGGTGCGGTACAAGTCCAAGTGCAGGAGGGAGCAGAGCGAGTCATCGCATACGCAAGTCGGACGCTGTCAAACGCGGAGAGGAACTATTCAACGACTGAAAAGGAATGCCTCGCTGTCGTATGGGCAATGACAAAGTTTCGCCCATATTTGCATAGAAGTTCTTTTCGTGTGGTCACAGACCACCACTCGCTCTGCTGGCTGGCGAATCTGAAGGACTCCTCCGGACGCCTCGCTCGGTGGAGCCTACGACTACAGGAGTTCGACATGACCGTGGTGTACAAGTCCGGCCGAAATCACATTGACGCCGACTGCCTGTCAAGGGCCCTAGCCGAGGCCGGTCCTGCCTGCACCAAAGAGGACGACGATGAGTGTTTCCTCGGCGCTCTGGATGTCAGTGACATGGCAGCGCTCCAACGAGACGACCCTGAGCTGCGAGCACTCATCGAGCACCTAGAGGGACAAGGAAGCGCCGTTCTCCGCGGTTTTGTACGAACACTGCCAACCTTCTCCATCCGACAAGGCGTACTGTACAAGGAGAACTTCAGCGACAACAACACGACGGCGGGATACCTTGGTTACAGCAGGACTCTTGCAAGGATACGCGAAAAGTACTACTGGCCCAAGATTGCGAAGACAGTACACCACGACACCCGATCTTGCCACGAGTGTCAACAACGGAAGAAGCCACCGACGAGACCGGCAGGACTTCTTCAGCCTATTACGCCGCCATCTGCCCCATTCCAGCAAATCAGTATAGATTTACTCGGACTTTTCCCACCGTCGACGCAAGGAAACCGATGGATAATCGTCGCAACCGATTATCTCACGCGGTACGCCAAGACTAAAGCCCTTCCACCAGGAACGGCTGTTGAAGTCGCCAAGTTTTTCATCGAGTCCATCGTCCTCCGGCACGGCGCTCCTGAAGTCCTGATCTCAGACAGTGGATCATCATTCATGGCCCAGCTGACGCAAGAAGTCCTTCGTCTCAGCCACACCAGCCATCGTCGCACCACGGCCTACCACCCGCAGACCAACGGGCTGACGGAGAGACTGAACAAAACCATCGCCGACATGATCTCCATGTACGTCGACGTGGAGCACAAGACATGGGACGTGGTGTTGCCGTACGTCACATTTCCTTACAACACGGCCGTACAAGAGACCACCGGAGTGACACCCTTTCAACTGGTGCATGGACGCAAGGTAACGACAATGCTGGACGCTATGTTGCCCCACGAACCGGCTGTCGACGTAAGCGACGACGCCCAGGTGGTTGCCCAAAGGGCAGAAGTCCGTCAGCTCGCCAAACTCCGGATTAAAGCCCAACAACACGTCGACACTGGCCGCTACAACCTTCGTCGTCGGGACGTCCACTTCCAGCCCGGAAACAGGGTTTGGGTCTGGACTCCCATTCGTCGCCATGGTCTCAGCGAGAAGCTTCTCAAACGCTACTTCGGACCCTACAAAATCATCCGACGCCTCAGCGATCTGAACTACGAAGTTCTACCCGACGGAACGCGCCCATCTGCAAGACGCCAGCCATGACCCGAGGTGGTGCACGTCGTCCGGCTCAAGCCGTATTACGAACGATAGAACTCTGGACTTTCGTCAAAGAGCGAACTGTAAATGGCCATACGCACATTCGCGTTTGAACGCGTTTGAGTGCGTTGCGGAGTCCTCGCGGCCAGGCGCGGTCGCTTGCAGAGCGACGCGCGCCTTCCCGCAACGCTCGGTAGCGCGACGCAAGCGAGTAGAGACTAGCTCAACTTTCCGAAGCGTTGCGGTGCGTTCGGGTGCGTTCGACCAATCAGAAGCCGAAAGAGGAGAGGGGATGACGTGTTCGCTCGCCCCACCCGGCCGACTCGGCGAGACGTATCCGGTTCGCCGGTCGCAGTGCTTACTTTTTCGTTTTGGAGAGCGGTGGGGACTGTATTTTCCAAGGCTGCGATGGTTCAAGCGTGACAAAACGTCGGGGAAGCCGGCGAGATTGTCCCAAGATCGAACACCGACGCCGTCGCCGTGCGCCGCCATGTTGCCTTGGATTTGATAGCGCGTTCTTATTGGCTCTTGACTGCGGTTGACTGCGTGCCAACGCAACTGTGCGTACAAGCTTGGCGCAAGCGGTCTTCGCAACGCAACGCGTCCGCTTGCCGCTACGGAACGCACCGCGCTCAAACGCGAATGTGCGTATAAGCCTTTAAGTGCGACTCGCGAGTCTGCTACCCTTTTGCTGTGGATCTGTGTTTTCGTTTTGTGCTGCATCGGGACGATGAACTTTTTTAAAGGGGGGGGGGGGGGGGATAATGCCGCGAGCGCAGCTGACCAGGAAGGCAGCGCGCTCGTGGCCTAACGGTTATCGCGCGTGCTTTCCACGCTGAAAGCCAGGGTTCGATTCCTGGCCGCGGAGGCGCATTTTTGTTGACTCTGTAAAGTAATGTTCTGGTAAATTCGAGAACCATGTTGGGGGCTTGTTCGAGGTCAGAATGTTCTACGCGCCGAACCTTCTACGCCGAACGATCCAGAAACCCACGAGGGTACATAAGGGATTCCGCAAGGCGAGCGGGGTCAGTTTCGTCCCAGCGTTCGACTGTGCTGCTACGCCAACTTCGACGCCCGCGACGCTCTGTTATTATCTTTGGACCCTTTTATTTTTGGCACAAGTTCGCCACATTAAACGTTTATTTCTTCCTGTTTATTTTCTATTTTTTGGTCACCACCCGTGACAATATATCGCAGTGGACTATAGAGTAAAACAAGTTTATTCTTTGTAGGTAAAAAAAATCTTGGATTAATAAATAAAGAAATGGCAGTATAGCCGGACATCTCGTGAGAGGCAGTACATATTTCATGCTCTGAAGGACCGTCCTTCGTCAGGCCCATTTCGCTTTGCGAAAACACGGACACATTGAACGAGACTCAACTTCCAATATCTCCATCCCGGATATCCACATGAGTGAATACCCTAAAGGTATTGCGACGCAACATTATTTATACATACTTAAGCTCTAATACACATCGCAACGTCGTAGACTCTTCAATTAATGGGAACCACTCGATAGCTGGGAATAGGACGTCTTGATTGACAGATCCAAACTAAAAACTAACACCTGCTACTTCAGTAAGAAGAAGGTAGCAATATTCCATTCATAGTTTTGCGGTTACCTTGATTATTTTAGTGTCGCGTCATATTCATTCTCAACAACACGGAAACGGGAAATCCGAGTTGGCGGGTTACTTTTTTGCGTTATTTATAACAAATTTACATAGAGCACTATTGGAATGGCATGAACACATTGTTATGACATCGTCCGTCATGGGCGAATAAAAACCTGTAAGTTCAGCAGCAGTTCCAAACGCACAAAACAAGAGATCACGAACCGTCTCCTTGCATTGGAACAGTGAAGCACAACTAGGTGGTTAGTTCACAGCACTAGCATCTTTCATTCCTGTATCACTTTACTTAACTTCCAGAGCACGTGAGTCCGTGTCCGCTTTTTCTTCCGCGTATGTGGCACAGTAATTCCCAAAGGCAGTTTCCGGAGGCAGTGCTTGGGTGGAATGCTTGGTTAAAAAATCGCAGCACTCGCTGCGTTCAGTGACTCCTGATCATCGTAGCCAATCGTATATGTTTTGCTCGGTGATGGACTTGATCTCTTCACGACCGTCCATGTCGGGAGCACGCTCCAGCCCTCCGCTACGAACAACGCGGGAGCTCTGCAAGCGCATGTGATCTGCAGTCATTCGGCTCTGTCCACCTGGAACGTCGTGGACGTACTGCCTCGACGACCTCTCAAGAAACGTTCTGCTCGTTCCTTCCGTGTCGTAAAGGGACACAGAGGGCACGTCGAAGGTTGCATCGCTTCGAGCGTCATCAGTGTCGATCTCGGTCGGTCGCTCGGTGGCGGTCATTCTCTCCACGACCGGGAGGTAGCCGTCAATGGATTCCCGGCGCCCTTCCATGCTGGGAATGTCTTCAAGAAACTCTGACGTCGCCCTGTCTGTGATGCTGTGTCCTGTCCTCATCGTGTCGGAGCTGGTCACGGACTCTCGCTCTAGCCGCGAGAAGTCGACGTCTATCTCTGTCATGGACCTCATATCGAAATCTGGTATGGAGTTGGAACGATGAGATTCGGCCAGCGAACGGAGGTCCGCCGGAATGCCCGCGCCCAACACCGGTGGCAGTGATGATTTCCTGCGAGGCTGGTCCAAATTCTTTCGGTACCGCGGTGGCCGTAGTTCTTGTTGGAGTTCGGCTTGGGTGGGCGGGTGGATGTAGTCCGGCTGGGTGAGTATCCGGATGATGACGTCCCAGACTCGCCTTTCGAAGTACGACTCGTACCTTACGTCGTGGCTGATCCTGATATATTCCTCCGTCGTTGTAGCCTCATGAACCAGGGTGCGGAAGATGTCGTCGACAGTAACGAGTGTCCTCCATTTTCTTTTGACATCTGGCGTCAGCTCCTCAACGCCTTCAATCGGGGGTGGGCTGAGGACCCGATTCATGACGTCCCACTGTGGGGGAGATGAAGTAATGGATGCCAGGGACGGTTTTGGTTCAGGACGCAAGGGCTGTCCCGTACGAATGTGAGTGGCAGTGCTCGTGGCAGTGGCGTCGGTCAGCTCTGTGATCGTTTCCCACGTCCTCCGGTCAACGCGTCCGGGCTCTGTGGGCGAAGCCGGAGGCGAACGCGGAGGGCTTCCAGGTTGAGGGCCTTCTTCCCCAGTCGGGGGGTAGTGCCTGATGGTGACGTCCCAGCTCGGCGGACTCTGTGGTACTTTTACGAGCTGCTCAGTTGTGTCCCTCGTCCTCTTCACTACGTGTTCTGTGGCTATAGTTTCGTGTTCCGTTGTCACGAACACCTCATCAATGTTCTTCACTGTGATCTTCGGCCTGCGGGGAACGACAGCCGTTTCGTTAATTGCAGTGATCTCAGACATTGAAGTGTCTGGAATCTCCGACTCTGGTGGCGGGCTCGACGGTGGACGTGGTACCGTATCGCGCATCCTGTCCTGTCGTCGTTTGGTTACATCTTCTTGCACATCGGTGACGTTCTGCGTGCTCACCAAGTAATCAGTGAGCATCTGTGTCGTGATTTTTGGTTTTCGAATGAGTGGCCTGACGTCCGCTGCTGCTTCTAGCTCCGAGTGTGACCAATCATCGTTGTCGGGGATGCTACCGTAAAGGGACGGCGCATACGTGGACACAGAGGGAGCTCTTCGCCTCGGCGCGGCTTCCATGATCTCTGACGCTGCTCGATTGTCGTTGTCCGGAATGCTCCCGTAGATGGACGGCGGCCGAGGCTCCTCCTTCTTACGTATCTTGGTGTAAACGGGAGGTTCGATCCGATAAGTGGTCGGGGGAAGTCCAGCCTGGCGCGACACCGCGGCGTAGCTCTTCTCAACCGTCTCGGCGTCTAGTTGGTCCTCACTTTCCGTGATGGCCTGAAGATGCTGCTGCTTCGCAGACTGGGTCTTCAGGATCATTGGCAGCTGCTGGAACGAGGAAATGGACTCAGCTCTCTCCTGGTCCATCGGGTATGAAGTCGTCTTGGCCCTGGGTATCGCAGACTTGTACACAGTCGGGATCTGAACTGAAGACAAGGATTCAGCTCTCTCGGCGTCCATCGGGTAAGGTTCCCCGACAAACGCCGCATTGTCGTACTTCTTCTGCAGTGGAACGGAGGACACCATGACAGCTCTCTGTTCCACAACTTCTTCGGCGTCGGACACTGACGACGGCGACTCACTGGGATAGTCTGACGGGATGGTCTCAGACCTCTCGCCACGTGAACCGGAGACGGGTGTCAGCAATGCCGCCTCGGAGCCCGAGGTGGAAGCAGCCATAGCCCTCGGGATACGAATGGGGTCGAACATGGACAGGGTTCCCATTGTGGATCCACTCAACTTGGTGATTTCCGAAGCCGGGGCGGAAGAAATTGCTTTCTTCTTCTTGACCACCTTGATGTTGCGCTTCTTGAGGCAGTAGTAAGCGATACCGATGCCCAAAAGGAGCAGGGTAAGGAAGAGCAGAGCACAGATGATAAGCAGCAGCTCGATCTCAGATAGTTTGGGTTGCTTTGTCGCCGGCAGGATGGGTGGAGGCTCCAATCTGAAATAAGAAGAGAAGCAACAAAAAATATATATGAAATGCCGTTCTTACGTTTCATGGCTCACTTCAATTTCCCGTTCCCACGGCGTCGTGAAAAGGTTTAATTTCGCTAACGGATTGCTTTCAGCCTCGTACTTACAGTAATTAAAACAATAGTATTTAGAATAGCTTGACACTTGGGTGTGCTGGAACCCGCCGGGTAATGACCGACGAAATTGTAGTGTAAATAATTTTCGGTTATTTTTTTTTAAATATACTTATGTAAAATCGCAAAAAGCTAAAGTCGGATAAAAGCCGCATAAACTACTTTTAGCTGTCAAGTGCTTTGAAGACACTTTATTCAAATTTTAAGGATGAATCTATATTCGTTACCTAGACACGAAAACTGCAAATATTAATAAAATGTCCGTATTTTTACATTTCCGAACAACCAAGCGGCCGAAGTTTTAAGTCTTTGTCGGCAAAGTGTTCGAATTGCGTCCGCATCAATCACTAATGCAGGTGTGTTTCTCCTGTGATGCATCTGGATTGCAGGAAAGCGATGATGCGAGAGGCCAATCACACGCAGTTCATTCCAATAAACAAACAAGCAAGCGCAACTATCGAAAAAAACATGTTTTGATTTTTTTAATCACGGCCTATTCCCTCTATGGGAGTGCATAGACATATTTCAACGGCTCTGCCTGGTCACTGCTACAGATGACCTGCAGGTTTGATTTTCTTTCATTCCCTTCACTTCACTTAATGATATGACCACGACAGGTTATTGACCTCCTCGACAAGACGCTCTTTCTGTCTTCAAAGCAGGTTTCGTGTCAATTTGTCATAATCGATTTCAGTTGCTGGGGATCTCGGTGAGATGTCAGAAGGTAAGTTTTGAAGGCTCAAATATGGCGAGGAGTAAGAGGGTATCTAAGGTGATTGTTAGAACTATGAGTTCTTTGCCCATGACGAGAACAAAGCGCTCGAAATCTTAATTGCTCAGCCTTCAATGAGGCAGGAAGATGCAACACGACGAATATATTTGCACACGAAGTACCCGCTAATAAGCTTGAGCGGTGCTATGGGAAACCTGCGACACAAGAAAGGGGCTCCCTACTTGGTGGCGCTAGCGTCACCAACGGCCGCGCCTATTTTAATTTTCGCGCTGATAAGCCCCCTCTCCCTTAACGTTTTTCATGCGCACGTGACGGTACTCTAGCATTTGCTTGTTTTCACTTCAATGTAGAGGTTTCGTACCTGCCTGTTTCCAGCGTTGTTTTCTGTGGGTTATCACGTGGTCCAACCCTACGAACCTGTCCAAGTAACTCAAATTCAATTGTTTTCCTGGGGAGCACTCTAATCCTTCAGCGTGTTTTTACTTATATTCGTTAAAATGCTGTAATACCACGCTGGAATATGCTTATAGAAATGCTTGTTGTTGGACGGCTCGCACATTGCTGCAGGACGACATTCACCAATGTCAGTTATTGTTAAAATTGACACAAGATTATTTTTGTCAATTCTCACATTTTTATAATGGTCTTCGCTCGCTGGGGGAACGACCAGGGCTACTGAAAAACAGATCATCGATGCTATTTGAATGTTTTTTTCGACAGACCATGAAGTTGATTTGTGTTTTCAATTTCCATCTCTACTCTGAAAAGAAGTTTGCGCTGACTCTCCACCGGACCGCTTTGTGTAGTATGAGGCTCACCTGAGAACACATTGTCTAGAAATGAGGACTGGCGGTTTGACCGGTTTCGGGGTCGGGAACATCAATATTTTCCTGCACTTCCGTGTCAAGAAACTGAAAAGCGTCACTCTTGGCGCTCCATTCTTGTACAGAAAAACAACGCAACAGTTCGTGTGAAAGACATTTTGAACCTCTTTGTTTACAGTGTACTGCCACATACCATGCACTCGATACAGTCTCCCTAAGAGCTGCAACAGCGGAGCCACTATCTCGTCGCACGCACCCCAAAGCGGAGAGGTCTAAAACATGACGACGACGCAAGGAGCGGGACTGTTGCTTCTCTCCAATGCACCTTATCTACGGTTGTCGCTCTTTTGCATTACGCCGAGGCCCCAGGAGAAGCTCCCCCAACAAACCTCGCTCTCCCGTTTCAATCATACTTCTGCAAAATAAAGTTTTTAAAATAGCGCGATGTGACTCGCACGTAAATTAGATCATTGTGATGTTATGTTTCTATGCCGTTCCCCTTATGACCCTTGCTTGTCTCCAAGAATAATGGGAAACAGTCTGATTTTGTTTCTTTATTCACTACACAACATAAACTGGAAGTGGTTTCTTGTGGCATATGAAGTAATGTTTCGGCTAGTTTTGTCGTGTATTACTCGTACGTTGCATCAATAATTTTCGTTTTATTGTGTCGTGTCTACTACCCTTCGAGATTCTTTCTTTAATCCAACGGAAAGTCACGCAAGTCTAAGAAGCGCGGCCAAACACCGTCATCGTAATTTTAGTACCTTTCTGCCGCTTGGTTCTCACGCATAGCTTCCATCAAAAGTTGCGGAATATAGTTCGGTTAATGTAAGCAATACTCACATGGGCGCAATCACATTGGTAGGCGGCGGAGCCAGGGGAGGCGGGTAGCGGCAGATGATGGTCTTGATCTCGTCTTCTTCGAGCTCCAGGGAGCGGTGGAAGCGGACGATGATGTTATTGATGAACACACGGGGCGCCTCCTGGGTGGGCAAAGAGGAACTTCCTTCAGAGCGAATACGTTTGCACTAGAGCAACTCCATACGATACTCTTGGAGCATCGGCAATTCGTCACCCGATTATGTTGCGGCCGCTGCCCTCTCTTGCCTTTGTGCGATGCGGGAGTAAATCGCGAGGGTCGCGATATAAAAATGCATTTTCTCGAGTTTGGGATAAGGTGCCTGAAAGCCCAGGTAATTTTTTTTCCATACTTTTTTTTTTTCTTGGGGGGGGGGGGGGGGGCGGGGGGGGGGGGGCTGTTTGAACAATTTTTGGGGACTGAAAAGCGTGTTCTGCTATTTCAGGCCAAACAAACTGGAGATAAATGGCATCAATAACCGTGAGCGATTAAAAAGTGAAGTGGAATTACTCTGTAGCGTTGCTTATTTAATGAATGTAGATTGCACGAACAGGACTTGTATAATTTCATATACTACATGATACCCCAAAGGAATCCTATAAATTGCTGGGTTTCTTTGTACTCTTGTTAAAAAAAGTTTGAAGCAATGCAACTTTTTTTTTTTTAAATTCTATCTAGGGCGTTTTGCTTTCGGTATATACTGATAAATCGAGAAACGTAACACCTGGGCCGGTTTTATGAAAGTCTGGCAAAACTGGAAAACCCCAAATTTGACTTGTGGTCCAAAAGGAAAAGACTAAGCTTAAAGGAACGAAGTGTTTACATACAGATCTCTTTTTGCTTATCCGGTATACAGTCCACACTGAACTGTCGATGAAGCCGGTTCGCTCCAGGAAAACCGAACCACACACCTTATCTCTTTCTTTTATCGGATCACGCGCCCCAGGCAGCACGCAAGAGAAACGCCCAACTTGGCCAAAGTTTGGAAAAAAACTAGAGAACTAATAAGGTTTTGCTACAAAGCGTCACCTAGTTAGTGCCTGCAGCCAAAGTAGTCGCTTTATTCTTTTCATGACTTTTCTCCGGATCGCCACATAACTGCCATAGTGCGAGGCATGAGCCCAAAATGCCACCTGCATTGAAGCCTAATTCTGGCACTTGTTTAACAATCTAGATTCATCGTTGCCAGATGAAAACCGAAGACCAAGATAAAAAGTCTAATTCTGGCATTTCCTTGGAAACTGAGGCCCAAAAAAGACAACCCAACTACCAGGCAGCGGAGCCTAGCATTTTGAGGGAAATTCAGGGCAAAAATACCCAAACTCTGGCAAAATATTATCAAGTTAGTTTATGCCTTGGCTTTTTGGGGGCCTTCAAAGCCCTAGAACGCCAAAAAAAATTTTTTGACCTTAAAAAATGAGCTACTTGAGATATTCTCCGCGGGTTAAGGAATCCTATGCCTGCAGCCTGTGTCCAGTTTTCTTCAACCTAAGTCCTGATCGCCGCCTGTCTTCTGAGAGCAGAATGAACACGGAGAAACACCAAATCTCTGAGAAAGATTAATCCCTGTCAAAGTTCGTACAATTGAAGAAAAATAAATTCCACAGAAACATATTTCTAACGCATAAAAAAATAAAAGTAAATATTTTTTTTTGTAACATAAATAGACCACAGTATAGTTCCCCCGAAAAAGATGTCTTTCACTAGAGAAAATGATAAGCTTTAGCGTACACTGGAGTCTCGAATAATTAAGCATCTTAAAACGTGTTGTGTATTGCCCCTACTATTGAGGAACCTTGGAGCCTATCCCTATCCTTAAACTTGAGTGACAAGCGAACGAATCTGTATGCAAGAGGATAGTAGCAAATAATGAGTTTTAGAATAACTATGTTACATCGTAATAAGTGGTGTTTTAGAAATTCGGAGTATTCATTTTTAACAAAGACGCAGTTTGAACTGGGAGGTTAAAATCTGTACAAGTGCCGGAGCTAACCACGAGCGAAGATTATTAATGTTAAGGGACCATAAAAAGCTTGTCTCAGGTTCGCTGAACGGCGGCTTTGACTTAATTATTTATCGAGTCGGTTGGTAATCCTTTGAGCCCGTTCTCGTGTCGACCTTCTCTGAACATTCTCAAAACCGTCAATCACCAAAGCGCCCTCCTCGCTTCGAGTCGTCGCAGTTTGCCCACTTGCGTTAAACCTTTCTCATTCTGTTCGCCCCAAAAGAAAAAAAAAAGAAAAAGAAAAGGGGGGGGGGGGGGGCGGAGTGCAAGGTGCTGCTGTCCAGAATCGGCTTTCGCTTAGAGTGAAAGCTTTGTCGAATTCCCTCCCATCTCCACATGCGCACACCCACACACACCTACGTAGATACATGCGTCCTTCTCTTCTTCGGTCACGTGTTTCGGCTAATGCTTCCTAGGAGACATACGTCCAGCTCTTAAACAGTCAGAAAAGGTCAAGACCCGCTAGTTGCTTTAGCGTTAATTTGTATCAGTCGTGTTTTTTGTGACAGAAATAACCCTATTTGCTTCTCTGTAGCAGACGGCATCCTTCTGTGAAGTGAATGCGTCAGAAATTCCGTCACTAGAATTGAAATCGACCGGAGATATCGCCCCTAGCCAGGCTTCTGAACATTGCAACAGAAGTGTATTTTTGTGGCGCATTCTGCCTTGTGACATTTAGAGGCGTAGCTCCCTTTCAGTAAAAAATGGGAACAACATATTTTTCGGGGCAAACGACGGACGTCGACAAAGATGACCGAGTTACCAAACATTTGACTTGTGGCGCCATCCCCCGAAAGGTGCAGCAAATAGACGACCATATTCATGGCCTGCTCCGAGATCCCGAAGCGCGCGAACGGCGTGAAAGCCTCTCCGTCCGTCCCATTCGTACGGAGAGGGCGTAGGCGGAAAAAGAGGAGGAGGCGGCGTCTTTCCGCGGGGAAGCGCTCTCAACCCAGGTGTCGAATTCGCCGTTTCAGTGGTTTCAGCGTTGACTAAGGAAGGAGAGTCCGAGAAAAAGTCGTGTTACGACGAGTTACTGCAGCTTCTACTTATAAATATTTTTGTCTTGCGGTAGAACGATAAAAATATGCTCTGGGGAAGTAAGTTGTGATGCTTATTCAAAGCGAAATATTCATCTGGATATGTGGTGGGTAGCGCGACAAGCGCGCCTTTTGATATTTGAATGCAATCTGTAGCGCGTATAAAACTCCAGAAAAAATTTAGCTCTGTATATAAAAAATATGGATTGCCCTAAATAAAACTAATCATGCTGTACTTTTGCTTTTTTTTTTTTCTGTTCGCGGGTTGTTTGACATTGCTTTTCGAATCTGAGCACGACGTTCGATGCTATCAAAGTGCAGTCCTCGTGTTATCCTTCTTTAATTATTTTTATTATTTATTACGCAATTCATGCCGGTGGTATTGCGGTGCTTGTTTAGTACCTTTGAGACGGGGTCACACTGTTTAAACGTCATGCAAAAGGCACTCTGCAGATATCAGTCACATCAATATCCGTGGTTCGAATGCCGCGTGCCAAGTGTCTCCTTGAACTCGTTGCCATACTGCCTTCGAAGCATAGATCTCGTGGATACTCGTATTCGAATCTGTTTGCAGGCTGCCTTCTGAATGATGTATAATCATGTGTCCATGGCTATAGCGGAAAATAATATGGCGGTGAGATACGACCACATCGCAATGATTTCGTCATTTTTTTATAAACTTCGTGATAATTGTAGGCACCAATTCAAAAAGTAGGGCGTTATGTTGTAAACGTCTAGTTTTTGGCGCATGTAGAACAAACCACTGGATCCCGTTATGCACTTTGTAATGTATCTTAATTGATGTGCAAACAGACATTGCGATCTCGAGATAGATAACTCTGATTTATTTAGATGTTCCAACCTTGTTCCAACCTGGTGTATTCGGCATTCCAACTTAAAACCTGTTCTATTTACATACTCCAAGCCTTGAATTTTTAGATTAGACGTGAAGTGCTTTGCGATGCAGTGGGTTCTAGCGGTATCTTTCGATACGCTACCCTGTCTGTCATAGTCAAGCCTAAATTAACCAGGAATGGCCGTAAAAACTTCTTTATTATAACTCTAGAAGTTTTTACCTCATAATCATCTCTTGCTGGGTACGCTAGAAGGGGGCACTTCTCAAAATACGGCAAAATCATTGCTTTTAACTTTTTAAGCACTCTGTGCTTTCTAATATGGTGAACATCAATGTGAAGAGCTTTCTGACAGTTACCAGCACTGCCAGAGGTGACGAGCGCGTTGGGAAATATTGGCATTGGTCGTCTGCAAGCATCTCTGCCTTTCCTCCTCAACACGCGAAACACGTTGCGCATGAGTATTTGCGACCAATCGGCGTGGGAGGCGTGCGTCATTAAATTGCAAATGGTCCCCATGCTTCGAGATGGACGTCCCTCATTTAATTCTAGGCTCTCTTTGAAATTACAGCGATAGTTGGGACACCCTATCGAACTCTAATGTATCCTTGTGTATCCTGCATCTTAAGTCGAGGCAGCATCACCAGTGCCTGCTCGGAGAGTGACATACTCATCCATCACCACAAAACTATCCAGATGTCACGCAAATACTCGCGTAGTTACGTGATATTAGGACGTCACGTGACACTATAATCTCACGTGACAGTGTGGCGCCACGTGACACTGTGACATCAAAAGACATCATGAGGTCTAGCGACAACACAGACGCCCCGCATCCTTTTAAATCGGGGAAGAGCCCATAACACCTATTTCTGTAAAAACGCAGATAGCGCGGGAAATGCGCTTCGTAGAAAGCTGTTTCGGCAGATGAAGGACCATCAGTTTGGCAGTCCCATTAGAACAACCTTTTATTTTTTTCCCCAGAAAACCCGCACGGTCCCCACCCCTAAACCCATTACCCAATTCGGCAGACCAGGAAGTTGCCAAAAACGAAGCAAACTGCGCCGGAGTCGGGCAGAAATACTCTCACAAATATTTGGAAATACAAATACTGAGATACATGGCAGAAAAAGCTAAGATACTGATGCTGAAATACATTTATAAAAACGTATCGCGATACATATCAGAAATACATTTGAAGAATAGAAAAGTATTTGGAAATACAAATATAGGAATACATTTTGGGAGGGCGGAAATACAGACATTGAAACACACTGTTATATAAAAAAGAAAACTATAGTTGTAGCTGTTTTGGTGCACCCCTTAGTGAATAAGAAGAACCAAAAAGAGGCATGATCTAAACTACAAGATTTTATTTTTAAGCAAGGAAACGAATAGTACGCACTGCGAGATTAAATTTTCACGTTGACGATTTTTTTTTGTTTTTCTTTTTTTTGTATTTTTGTGGGGGGAGGGGGTGTTCGAGTCAAATTTACCACACAATTAACATTGCAACCATAGCTACAGGGCAGTTTTATTTCGACATTTTCACCTTTCTGAGGCAGAATTCCAGGTACCTCTATATCCCTTTTGTGCACTCCCGAATATTCTCGAGATGGTACTATGATCATGCCCAATCCGGGAGCCTCTTTCAGCAGTTACCGCACAACGTCAACTTGGAATGAAGTTCAAGGAACCCGTATTCCTTTATCTGTTAGTTGGGCACGCCGACAGACCCTTCAACTTTTGGAATCTACATGAATGTTTGACCGCCTAGAGCGCGGGAAAACATTTCTTACCTCTTGTACAATAAAGGGAGTCATGTACGGTCAGAAACACAAAACGTCCTGGAAGAAACTTTGTCTTGACCCTCCGTGTGGAGGTCAACAATTATTGTAAAATTGTAAGGAAATACATCCGCCCTAATAGTATCGCGATACCAAGGGTACACCCGAAATCCATTTCAATACAGGAATACGAAACACAGTTGAAAAATTGTATCGTGATGCAGAAATACAAATGCATAATGTATTTCTGAAAAACTATCGCGATACATTTGTATCACGATACTGCCCAAAGCTGCCGCGGAGCCGGGTCAACGCAAGATGAAGCCCGACGACGCGGTTGACACCGACCTCCCGCGATGCCGGCGACGCTGACGGCAGGTCGCTCTGTGATGACTAGGAGGACGTCGCCACCTTGTGGCGAACGACGGAGAAGTCGAATGAGACGGCCGGAGAAGCCTCCGAGCGCGCGCTTCGGGATTTTGGAGTTTTCGCGGGAACGCGTCGGTTGCTCAGTGCACCTACCGGGAGATGGCGCCACAAGTCCCATTCTCGCTACCTCGGTCGTTTGTGTCGACGACCGCCGTTTACCCTAGTTTGTTGGCCTATTTTTTTGCAGGAAGGGAGCTACGCCTCAATATATCACGATGTATAATGGACATCCTAAAAGCACCTTTCTTGAAGATTTGAGAAACCTACGTGCAGGCGTCGACTTTTCTGGCCAATTTTAGAGCAAGCCTCGTGTTTTCCACCCCTCTATAAATCAAATTATAGCAAACAAACCAGAAAGGCGCCGTATTTTCCGGGCTATAGTCCGCGCAATATTCATGTTTAAAAGTTGAAATTTTAGGGTGTGTGGACTATCTGTGTGTGCGGACTATACAGGGATTTTCTTTTTAAAAATCGTTTATTATGACGAGAAGTGAAGGATTTTGTGAATTAGAGAGTATATTAATGATGATTTATGTATAATACAAGTTTCTCTGTGAGCTAAGAAAGCAGACATCTGTCACGATGTGCCGTGTAAGAAAAGATTTTCGAGTCGACTAAGCCCCTTTTGTGTACTAAGCACGACGTGCGGACTATGCACAGGGTGCGGACTGTCTAAGCAAAAACTAAAACTTTTATTGTTGACCCCAAATTTGTTTCTGCGGACATAGGACGGAAAACACGGCATATTGCCACTGTTACCGAATATGACGTCGTGTATTAAACACGAGATTGCTGTGCCAATGCTGAATTAGTGTCGTTCGGTCGTAGTGCGAAAGAGGCCAAATGGAATATGCACAATTGCAACATACCCGGTTCGAAAGATTTGACGAGGTTCAAGCGACAAAATTCAGATGAGAATATATCGAAATGGGAAAGGTCGCAGCGTAAAGGAGACGTTTTGAGACACAGCCGTCAAACCTACTGGTGTCAGCGAGTGGTTTGATCTAGAGTTTAATACACACGCAAACGGTGCGTGCTATCCTTGTTTCCAAAAATCCGTCCGTAGGCTGGTTTTACTGCAGCCTGGACTGCTATATTTCCCAGATGGCAAAATGGTCGTTAAAAACAGAAGAAAACTGTGTTGACTGTCACGAGCCGTTGAACCACTTCCCAGAATTGCTAACTTCTGGCCACGGGTGATTCGGCTAAAACAAGAGGAAATTGCTGCCGAAATCGCTGCTTTCGCTACGCTGATTTTGGACGAAATGTATTACCATGCAGCGCGCGGATTCCGACTCGGGGAAGGATGAAAATTCCAACCTCACGACAGTCCGCATGTTCGGAGAGCCAGTCGTTCTCTAAGCGATGGCGGTTTCAGATACAGCCACCACAGCTTCCCTCGATCGACGCCAATACGGTCCGCATAAAGTTGCGGTCTTCGAAGAGCCGATCTTCCCTCCCGCTTGTGGGCGGTTTCGCGCAAACGGCGTCGTCGCTGCGTCTCAGATTTTCCGTTGTCGCGTACGTTGCACCACCGCCACGGCCACTCGATCCCCTCCCCTCCCGCATCCGCTGCGCGTCATGGGAAGCGTGATGAAGACTCTTTCCTTCTTGTATGATGAAAAGTAAACGCAACAAGCAAACGAACGAAGTAAAAGAGCACGGCGGGGACCGCGTGCTCTTTCGTTTCGTTCGTTCGAACCTTCACTGAGTCGGAACCCGTGCCTTAAATGCGAACTCCTTCCGTCGAGAATCGGCAACGACAGCAGCGATTTCGGCATATTTTGTTTTTAGTCGTGCACCAGGTTAATTGTTGTCGATCTATCGATGGCCTATGGTGAAATGTTAAAGAAATGCATAATATGTATGTGTTTAAACCAACGATTTCGGAATTTAATGTATTGGTAGTGTTAATGTGACATTATTGGTACCTGCGTTTATATTCCGCGATAAAAGTGTTTCACATAACTGTACTGATTCCCCGAAAATTATACAGGTTTACGAACGGAGCGCGTTATTGGAATTGGGGATTCACGGAACAGTAGCAAATTCGATTTTACAAAAACTATGCACTCACAAAAAAAAAAAAAGAAAGTTCATGTTTTTGGGGGGTTTGCCCAAAGGCCTTTTTAGGAAACTTAAAGGGCAACTCCGCTCAATTCCGAAGATTTCGGGATAATGGGTGATTTCGAATTAAAAAGCCCTAGTAAAAGACACTACGTCTTTTGCTTCGCGAAAAATTTGATATATATTTTTACATCTAATTTTAAACACGAGCGGAAATCGAAACCGAAACTTCGGCTCCGTCCGGCAACATTGGCCTCAGGCCGCCAAGTACATGGCCATCACGTGGTACGAGAGGTCACGTGATCCTCGGCCCAAAGACGGGCGGGATGGGGGCGGGCGGGCGTGCGGCAGGCGCGAGTGTCGTCTGCTCCGCACTCTTCGCCACGTTTTGGTGTCTACGGCATTCGACGACGTCTGCACAACTGCGGCATAAGTCTGGGACTCTGCGCATGTGGTGTCCATAGTGTGGACGAAACTCCGAGAGGCAATAATCACAAACGGTGAGACGACGACGGTGGTTGTGACGCGGAAGACGGCGGTAACGGCGGGACCACGGCGGGCGGTTGGTCTGCTCCCAAGAAGCGCGCTGTGCAGGCGCGTAACGTCAATCACGTGGACACCGCTGAGCGCCGAGAGGCAACGTTGCTGACGTCACGCGCTACGCTCGATCGGAGAAGTAAAAACAAGCAAAAGGGGGCCATGTAGATGGCGTTTAGCTCAATGTTGGCTCCGCCCATGCCGTAGCCTTGACTGCGCTGTTGGTTGCGCCTGAATTCGCCCGCTCGAGTCAGCCGATTTCGGCAACTTGGTGTGTTGCAAAGTTTGCCGGACCGTTTAAGAAACATTTAGAAACAACTGCGTCGTAATATTTGACGTGTGGTCTTCTTAGGCGATACTGAAGAGGACTGCATTGTTTTTTCAAAACCAAAAATGAAGCGGAGTTACCCTTTAATAAAGTTCGAGATAATTGAGTCATTCATTACTTTCGAGTAATTACCTTCTTAAATATTGCATTTAAGGGCATGGTATCAATAATAAACTTGCTGGACATCATCGAAAACCACTAAATCAACCAATTCCTGAAGTATGTAAGGCTCGTGCATGATTTTACAATGTTAAAAAAAGCGCAATTCGAACGCGTTTCTAGATTTCGGTTTTCTATCGAAGCGCGTCTTTGTGCCAGCGGGGTCCAGCCTCCCATTGTCGAGGCGCGCATCGTGCGTGTACCACATGCCCTTCCCTCCTACGGGGGAGGCAAACCTATAATTCAGCGCCTCGGTCATGGGGGGTAGGACCGTTGGCGCAGAGATGTACTGCTTAAGAAACCCAAAACCAAGAACCGCGTTCAAATTGAGTGTGTTTTTCGGAACATCGACGATACACGCTCCTTTCATCCTTCTGTAATTCGTTGATTTAGTGGTTTTCGACGATGCCCAGCAAGTGTTTAATTGAAACCATGCCCTTAAATTAAAGAATGAAATGGGTTAATTAGTAAAATTAATTAATAACTTAATTATACGAAACTTTATTAATTGTTCTAAGTAGTCCCCTGGACAGGGATCCAAAAGACATCAATCTTTTTTGTGTGTGTGCAATGCGTAGTTTTTGCAAAAACAAGTTGTCCAGAGTTTCGCGAAACACCAGCTGTATGGCGATCCTGTCCATGGTAGATTCCCGTCCGCACCCACCTGCTTGGTGCCACACCCTTTGAGAGGAATCCTGAGCTCGTAGTACTTGCTGCCGTCGCCGTAGAACTTGCAGGGGCTCGTCTTGTCGTAGTCCACGTACGTGATACCCCGGAATGGCTCGCTGAAGTTGATCTTGACCACCATCTCGCCCGAAGCGCACGAGAGGTATGCTGTACCGGCCAGTGAAAAAAACAACGAAACATATCGATTCAGTATTTAGTTTTTGTTTCATTCGAAATATAACAATGGTTAGATTCAGAAAGCATTGCGGGTGTAAGCGCATTGTTTTGAAATTAATCTCAAAGCCTCGGGAAAGACGCAGCGGAAGTCATAAGAACTGAAAGGTACTAAGCCTCAATGTCGATCTCAGCAAACTTCTACAGTCTGCCAAACTGAGCACACGACGGGGGTTTAGCCGTGTGGAAAACGAGATGTATAATTAAAGAAGTTCGTGCTCATTTGCATAGATATATGTAGGAAACAAAACTTTTAACTCTGCCGTTGTTTAACATCGCAAGTCGAGCGCATATTTTAAAGCATGAAATGCTCGTTAACGCTAATCCCAAAGTTTTGTCCGTTCGTCCGTCCTTTCGTGCATTTCTCGCTAAATTTAGAGGAACCGATGTCACCTTCCCGCTAAAGTTGGCAGGAAATTTGATGTCACATGAACTGACGCCAAGGGGCCTAGAGACCAATTCAGTTTTACCGTTAAATTTAGCAGGAAATTTGATGTCATGTTGACTGACGTCAAGGAACCTACAGACCAGTTCAGTTTCCCGCTTAATTTAGCAAAAAAGTGACGTCACATGACCTATACACCAATTAATACGCATGAGCCCACGTCACCAGACCATTGTCTGGTATATATGTATATATATGTATATCCCATTGAAACCACGTCAACTAAACTATAGAAGACTGTATATAGTCTCATGAATAAATAAAACTATCACTTTTAAATGCTGCATTCCACGTGTTGAGGTAAACGCTGCTGCCCAGAAATGATGCCGACAGGGTTTGGACTGAAGGCTCACCTGTGACGACGTTTTGTGTAATGGAGTAATGTATGAGTTTTAAATGTCATACTTTTCCAACTAGCATTTAATTAGGCACTTAATGTATTTACACATTGTTTACCTTAAAAACTAATTTCTACGTCGGCAGCGCTGGTGTGGAGAGTCGAGTGATTTATGATTACTGTCTAAGGATGTAAACATGACATGGTATCAGACAGCTGCCGGTGTTTCAACGTCTACTCCAGACGTAACGTTATTTGTGTGTACATCTTGTGCCATTAAATGAATGTCTCTACATACATATTTATTGTGTCTACACTGGATACTATAACATTCACTGTGGACACCATAAATATGTATGTAGAAAATTCCATTTAATGAAATTTTCTTCATACGTATTTATCCTTTTACACTTTATCCTACATACATACTTATCCCTTTTTGCGGCTCGTTTTACAGCGTATACGCAGTAAAACGAAACTCAAAAAAGAACGCCAGCACAGAAAAAAACCCAAAGTTTTAGAGAATGTGCCTTGAGATGGTGGATTTTACTTTGTAAATATCCAAGGTGTAGGTATTTTCTGTAAAACACTAGACCAACAAAGGTGCCAAAGTAAACGGCGGTCGTGCTCACAGAGTACTACGTTCGAAATTAATGTAACGTGTGGCGCCCTCTGCCAATACGCGCAGCAAGCGGACGACGTACTTAGCTGTCTGCGCACTGCGCCTATTGGGAAATGGCGGTGCAAGTTACATTCATCGTTAAGTCGGTCTTATGAGACCACGCCCGCCGGTGACTTTGGCAAGTTTTCTGGTTTCATATGTTACAGCAAGAGCAATACGCCTTGAAAATTTACAAAGCAAAATGCACATTCGGTTGATGTTTCACCTTCTTACGTGCAGACGTTCATTGTTCCGGGTCGTTTTACAGCGTAAGAAACACTGTGGCTTCCCTGCAGTTCAATAAGGTGTTATAAGGAGTTTAACTGCGTAAAGCTACTCGCGAAAAAGATCCTCCCGAAATCATCTGACTTAGATATTCTGTCAAAGGAAATAAAGGTGCGATAGCAATCATACGTAGTTCCTACCCTGCTACACTGCTTCCGTTCCCCCGCAACGAACAGCACTCCGCTCATCCCCCCTCTCTTCGCGGCACAGCGCCACTGGTTGCGCAAGTTATGAGATGAAACAAACAGCTGCGCTTTTTTGTTGACACTCCCTGCAACCCGCACGAGCAAGCAATGTCCGTGCAGGGCTTCCATGTCAAGCTTTAGCTTTAAAAGTGCACAACAAATGAGTAGGTGTTAAGGGTGATTCACCCCTGGTCCTGTTGGTGAGAATCTCGCTGCTGAACTCGTCTGCAACGGCCTTGTGGACCACGTTTTCCACGTGACTGTCGTCCCGAATGCCTTCCTGGCAGCGGCTGGGCACGGCCTGCGAAAGGAAAGCATGGGGACCACTCGTGACCTCGGGATCGGGTGTGTGCACTCCGAGAAACTTCGCAATTGGACTCAGTGAAATCACCACACCACGTTGACATTTAGGATGGCATGTAGCAGTCCAGGTCGCTGATACCGTAGTGTTAACTTGTAACGATGCAGAGGGCTGGGCTAGTCGGAGAAAATTAAATGTAAAGTAGGTGTTACATCGCGCAGACAACGTTTCTACGAGCTGTTACACCTACACCATGCGTACATTTCCTTTGATATTTTCATGGCGCCTGGAACGCGTCGCCCACTGGTGTGATTAGCGTCTTTTTTTCAGCCCATGCATCTAAAAAGACTCCGTAATTTCACCAGGTGACCTTATAAAAGTGTCATACTGTCGGATGTGTCGCGATCCTGGTGGTTGGTCGTAGAAATTACAACAGAAAGCACGAGAATGCGAGTGTCACATTCGTTGCGGCGTCTCAACCCCTGGCTGCCAGAGCCTCTATAAACTGTCAAGCTGAGCAGCCGCCTGCAGCAGCACAGGCGTCTGCCACATGTATTTTTGCTACTGTACCACCGCCCCGCCCCCGGCAGGCAGTGGCACGATGCCTCTCTGGCGTCATCAGGAGGATATCGAGGGGCCACTTTTGAGGACGGGTTAAACACACCATTCGAAGGCGCGTCAAAGGTACCCTAGTCATGTATCATGCTCTTTTTGGCAGACCCTCCTGTGCTGGTAAAATGAGTGCCGGAGGCATGGCGACGTACTTTTAAAAACATTCCGCCGTTTTATTCGTTGTTGTCGATTTGCCTAAGAATAGGTTTAACAGAAACAGTAGCCACGGGAACTGGTAACAGAAAAAAATGTGTCAACATAATTTTTCAGCGAAGTTAATGAATTTTCAAACTTGGCCCTAACTGCCTTATCAAACTGAAGGCTTCTCGTGGCAACGCTGACAAACTTACGGCAGAGCTGCAGGGTCACTATCCGGGCAGGGGAATTGTTTCGCAGCGGATTGCAATAAGTTGACGGTGTGAAAGGATTGTTGAGGAAACTCATGCAATTACCCGCTCAGCGGAAGAAAAGATGTACGACCTACTCTCTTTTCTAAAAGACCTGCTCGATGTCTCGACAGTAAAAAGCAGAGGGAAATTAAAATCTTGATTTTGTCACCATCTCTACTGCCTGTTCTTAAACTATTCTGAATTTTTTATATCCTCAATACCATGCCGGGGAGAGAAAAGTCCTAGCGTTCGTCCGAAATGGTCAGTTTGGTGGCTAAAAAAAATCGCTAATGTGTCTATATTTGGAGGAAAGGGGGGGGGGGGGGGAGGGGTAAATAATTATTTCTTTCTAGCTTTAAATATAGTCCCTAAGGAAGGGGCGGGTAATGGTGATAAAGTTCAATAATGACAGGTTCATATTTCCCTTCACAAATAGACGTGTGTTAGCGTACGCTAAGCAACATAATATGCCAGTAGCTTTTTGTCTTCTAGAAAATTTTCTTGTAGTCAAGGTTCCGTCTAAACGTAAACATGGACTGTGAAGCTCTCGCTCAAAATAAGGAAATTGATTCTAGTGTGGTCTCTCAAAAGGGAAATTTTGGCACACTACTCTAACAATTGTACTGTTCACAGCTTGAATGCACATCACTTTCTAATCTTAAAATTGCCCTTTATTGCAGCCTACCATTTCTAGAATACCCCCCCCCCCCCCTTCTACCCTTGAAAACTTTGCCGCACGCTCGCTTTCATTGACGCTGCAAGGGAAAATCAGAGGACAAAATTCCACATAAGGTGCCACCTCCTCACCAACACTCGCAGATATGAATACCTTCGTCTGCGTCGGGTTTAATCATTCTCAATTCCAAGAAATTGGTTCATATTTTTCACAAGGGCAGTCATACATTGCTTCGAAATTCTTCTAGTTATAATCGGTCTAAAAACACTAATTCAAGGTAAATGAAGGTCCCGAGGCACGGCACTCATGTTAGCGGCTTAATTTATGACAGACATGACGTTGATGAAGCGCTGAGAGACTTTCTGAAATCGCTTCTTTTAGGATGACCTAAGTATAGCCGAGATACGCAGACGGCGAAAACAGCGCACAGAAAACGAAGGCCGTGGGGAAAAGTAGCACACAGGACAAACGCCGACTGTCCTGTAGCACACAGGATAAGCGCCGACTGCCCGGTAGTACACAGAACAAGCGAATATGATTGGCTTCTGTAACAAAACAACGGTCTCCTTGGGTGATTTTAGCTCTGAGATAACGAAGAAATATGCATGAACTAATTCCAATTTTGTTAAATTTAACAGAGTATGGTTTTCAAACCTCACAGGCAATGTGGATTTTCTGCCGCAAAATCTCAAGTTGGATATGACCAAATCACCCGACTCCACGTGTGACTTTAGAAAACACTACGGCACGGCTATGACTCGTATTAACGACTTCATTTTAAATCTGAAAGGGTGAGGTTTTAGTCAAAGTTGAATATGTACTGACATACAAACAATAAGTAATACTGCATTTTTCAATTACAAAAAAAGCGTTATCCCTATGCACATTAGACAAACTGCGGCATCACCGGGTCGCTCATCTAAGAGATATGCGGTAACTGCAGTGATTAGTGACTAACCGAATTGCGTTGATCTATTCAGGGATTGTTTCTGCGTCTAATGACAGCCCAGTCGGTGACCGACTTTTAGGGGCATTTCTCATCTCAGATCCAAACTTCCGTTCTCCCGTGTGTCACCAAAAACGACACGCGTGCATATGCAAAGCACGTTCTCGCGTGTCCAGCGCGTGACTTCATTCGAACCTCGTCCGTCATTTTCCCCTTTTCCTCCCGCTCACGTCAGCTGGACCGAGAAGACCGCTGGCCACCATTGGCGGCGCATCGAGGCCGCGTGCTCGAGGAGCGAATCACGAGCCTTCGCCGCGGTTTGTTCATCGTGTACGACGAGGTCGCGTCTCGGAGCCTTTCAACGCGCGCGCTGTGGCGTGCCACCGCGACCACCGGACTGCGTCCTTCCAGATTCAGCGGCCCGCAAGCACGATGAAAAGGAACGCCATTGTCGAAGCCCACTCGGCGGCGGGGAGTGCGGTGGCTGAAGCTAGCGGTCGTTCCGGGCCGACTCCCCGGCGGTCGCATAGCCTGAAAGGGATCCCTCCCGCGGATCGCGCAAGTAAATGTCCGCGCCACGAGACAGGCCTGTAATTACGGCTATTGTGGCTTACAAATTGAATTGTCCGCGCCAGGATGCGCTAAATACTGACCGCGCTTACGCGCGCGGGACGATAACGCCTCGTTTCATTGGGGGCTTCTGAGAGCCGTTAATTTTAGCCGGTGAGAAGGGAGCAGCGTTGCGTGCACTCGCTTGTGCTGCGGCGTGGGTTGTTTGCCCTCCCGGTCTGCCGGTGAGGCCTCGTTTGCTGCTTACGACTGCAAACACTTATGGGCTTCAGAACTGAGGCACTGCTTGTGCCACCCAAGGACCCTTCTACTTTCCCTCACCTTTTGACAGTGTGTCCGCGCTTTCTCTACGTTTTGAGCGTGCGCTTCGTGAACAAAAGTTGCGCAAAGAAAGCTGGGCTTGGAGCTCTTGGAGAGAAAAAAGGGAATGCAAGCTTTGTCTTTATCCGAGCAAATACTTTACTAGAGAGTACACCTTCTACGGTTTTTTACGAAGTTTCCCCTACGTGAAAATTTAATTGTCTCGACGCCGACACCTTTTATGCAGTTGGAACGGCTGGAAGCGCGAAGCCTCGGGGTCTTTCCCTTTGAATTGGGATGGCTGTCCACCGCCATCTATCGTCGTGGACACCCCTGGAGCCAACGGAGACCCTCTGCTCTCCCAGGGAAGCCGGTATCTCGTTGCGTCGGTGGCAGCGCCCTCCCTCGGCACAGCGCGAAAGCGCGAGCGACAGCATGGACAGCGCGATGGGCATCCGTTCTTTCGGACGCAGGCTGTTCCCACATCTAAGGAGTAGACTTGGCGGCGCGCTGTCTAATTCGAACGAACGGAGGATGCTCCTAAAAAAAAAACTTGACAGCGCGGGGAGAATTCCAAGCACCCTATTACCGCTCTACGGCCAATTGCAAGGCGGCATCAGCTGATAAATACGGAGAGTAGTAACTAATCGCGAAGCAAGAAGGGAGATTAAAATAGGCCTGGAAAGCTCCTCGCTCTTTACAACCCAACTTTCGCACGCAAAAAAAAAAATGTTTTACGTTAACCGCAAAACGATTTCGTTAACAAAATAATATTAATTTTGTTTTTCTAGAGCAAGCCACAACTGATTTTCAAGTGTCACAAAAACGCACAGAATGTACTACAAACATGCTCACACTTACGTAAACATGCTTATATGACCTTCTTTTGTGGTCCGAGTGGACTCGACCACCACGCCCAGGAAAGTAAACAAAAAAAAAGTGCCGTCCATACCCTCGAAGACGGTGCTCTTTGCCTCGCGCGCGCGCTTTTCAGCCGTGCCTCAAGAGCGTGCTAAAATAAAGAATCGCGCATCAAAGACAAAGAGAATTCGACCCCCGGTCGCGAGGCTACATCGTCTGTTACGCGAGTTGTAAACCCGCGAATCAAGGGGCTACAGACCCGCGTTTGATGTCTGTGCAGGTGGCGTGAGACGTCGAAGAAGTTGGAAAGGGTGAAACGGTGTAAAAGACAAAAACAAATAAACACGAAGACCTTTCTCCTGCCTGGGAGAAGAAAAGAACGATGGAAGGCGACGGAGAGCTTATCTCGGCGTTGTCTTAATTGATCTTTGTCTTTCGTATATTTGTACATGCCTTGCCCATTTTTCTAGAAGTTCTAGTGACCGGTCATACACAAAATCGTGTTTTCTTTTCGGCTATTGTCTCCTTCCCGACGTTTTTTATTTCGTTGAACTTGCTCTCGTTATGCTGCTGAATGTTCTGCTCGTATTCTCCAGTTACTGTATTATGCTCATATTTTTTTTTAAAGTAACGAGTAATTAAAGTAATTTGTTACCAATATCTTGTACCAAAATTGCATTTCAAATTACTTCCGCAAAAAAGTAACGTGGCAATTACAAAATTACTTCAAAAAGTAACGGATTACAACCAATTCGTCAATTGTAACGGATTCCTTCCCCAGTCTTGACTATAGTATAACTCGATCCGACGGTTTCCTGCGGACTAAGTATGAGTCACTTCCAATAGTCGCCTGCAGACTAAGTGCGCTGGATTAAATAAACTCGCCAGCGCCTGTATCCAGCAAACTAGGTATAACTAGGTGCTGACTGTCGACTGCGGATAAAATTATACGCTAAGTATAACTAGCCTGCGATGGTAGCTTGCGGACTAAGTATGCTGGAGGAAGCATGGTTCACCGCGGACAGCCGCTATCTACTGCAGGTGACCGTCGGCGGCAAGTCACACTTAGTTCACTTACTCCCGCTCTCGTTCATCTCCTACTTGATGGGCCGACCAAAGATGCGGACTGCGGATCCCATGGTCCGGGGTTCGATTCCAGCTGATCGTCTTGGTGAATGTCTCTGGTTTCGATTGCGTGTTCCTGGTAGTTATGATTATGTATCAATTGTTAAGCATAATTGTGCTTTCTATATCGCTCGCATGCTTATGCATTTCCTGGTATGGGCTCTGGATGTTTCATGTTGCTTTGACCCGCGAGTACCGCTTTTTCGTAACACTCGAGCGTAACACTTTTCTATGCAATCCAGCCCATGAACAAATTCTGTCTCCGAACATTACTTCGCTAGACACAACGAGGGTGTTCATGAAAGACAAGCGCGCATATATATCTTATACTTCGAGATTAGTACCAGAAGGTATTTTGTTGATATTGAATGCCCAAAAGCTTTTCTTTTGAGAACACGTTTTTGAGAAACAGGCTGAAGCTTAACCCCGGCTCAATTAAGTTTCCGTCTTAAAGCACGGCTGAAGTGACTCAAGAAGAATGCAAAATTTTCTGTCTTAAATTTGCTATCAAATTCTTCATTGTATTATTTAGCATGAAAACACTTGATGCAGCACAAATGCATTAAATAACTGCAGCTGCTTGTGAACATATAGTTTTTTCTGGTGTCGAGGATACCATTTTAAAAAGTGATAGCACGAGCTGCTACTTCTCCGTAAAATAAATATCTCTTGCTGTTACAGTATGAGAAAATTTATTTCGGCTTCATACGGCGATTCGAATAATATTTTACAGATTCAGCGGCATGTGGTTACACAATTGAAGGTAGCGCTAAAGGCGAGGACAAGTAAAAGACACAGACACGTACAAGCGCTTGTCCGTGTCTGTGTCTGCTACTCGTCCTCGTATTTAGCGCTACTTTTGTTTGTGTAATGTATAACCAACCAGCCCGTCACATGATCGTAGGGCATGTGGTTACTTGTATTCGTAATACTTATTACAAAGAGCGCGAATATCGGGGGAAAGTCGCAAAACGCCTCCAACCCATTGGCATTCCCTGAGCGTGACATCCGTAGCCTCACTGACGGTATATGGCTGTAAACAAATCAATCTCAAATTTAATCGCTTTTGTCGTGTGTTTCTACATATGAAACAAATGTTTCTACATATGAAAGAAAACCACAGGAACAAAAACCACAAACAAAAAAAACGAACGATCTTGGAAAGTGGGCATTATTTGGGTCACTATGAGACCCAGGCAGCTTCTTATCGCGACTCCACATCCCCAGAAGGCGGAAGAAAACATTCGTCTCGTTAATCCTGTCGGAGACGGGGCCAGATTTGTTCTCACCGCCCATGCCAGGAAGAGCGGGACCAGCAGGCGCCACGCTGCCATGACTCGTGGAACCTGGAAGGACAGACGAGGAGCGAGATGAGTGCGACGAGGAATGGACAGGGAACGAGGCATCCCTAACAGACCGACTGAACCACAGAACGTTTCAGACCACCGGTCATTTTGGCGTTATCACACTGAGGGTGTGTGTTCAGACGCCAATTGAACGCGACCGCTGTGTCACCATTTGGCTGAAGCTATAGCCTTCAATCAATACGTCGCAGGACGCTCGGTATCAGATTTGGGCCCAATGGCTACGTTGACTTTGATTATTCTAGGGTTTGTTGGTCTGGATCAGATTAGCTAGAGATGGCTAAACGACGCACTTTTCAGCTGACTGCCGTTCTCTGCCCTTTCGCGCAAGAACTACAACGCTTCCTATTCCACGTAGTGACAACTTTTAAAGTGAAACCGGCTCCGTACCCTTTATTTTCATGGAACAAGAGGTGCGCAGTTTCAAGAGTCCGACATAAATTTTAACACGAAACATTTTGCTCCTTTGTGGCATTATCCCATCGTCAAAAGACATATCATTTTCACGTTACATTATCATATGTTCTAGAACCATTATAAGGAAGGTGGTGTACAAGAGGAAGACTTCTAAACCAGTTCAGCCTGTAGTCATCCATTTGTCTTTGCCAAGAGATTTTGCCTCTAACCTAAGTTGCCCCCTCCCCCCCCCCCCCACGACACACACAAACACACACACACACATACACACACAACACACGCATTTTTCCTTCAGAATAAAATATGGAGGAGTTAAGCGCCGTGTTCAGTGCCCAGCGTCCCAGTGAATGTCAGATGCCTGAGTTAGGTCAGACATTGCCTGGTACCATACACACACACACATATATATATATATATATATATATATATATATATATATATATATTATACTTATCGAGCGGAGCACGACTCATGAGATGAACTATCCATCGGAATGAAACTTAACCGGAACTTATACCAAGCCTATTCGGTTAGTTGTGATCTTCTGTGGGCTCCTGCATGGGTTTGTGCTAGTACTAAATTATTTATCTTCTTTGTATCCCGCGTATATAGTATGCATCACATTCAAGTAAAATTTGCCTTTGTCATCACGTTCTTTTTTAAGTCGATACTCATACCCGCGTTCCAATTAAGTTTGATTGACACCTCTTACAATAGGAAAGGTTCAAACGGAAGGGAAAGAAGAGACAGTCGCTGACGCTGGTGTTTAACGCATTTCGAACATTGATCCGTCGTTTCTATCAAAAGAAACGTGATGAAAGAGTGCAGGGTGGGAGGATACATTTCCGCTATTAATGGGGAAACTTTATGGGACTGCTTTAAGAGCTCGCAGCAGTCATTGCTTCTAGCTCATGTTCAGGTTGGGTTCATCACGTTGACGGAGACTGCAGGACGCGATAAAACCGCAAGCATTGCAAATATACGTTTTATTACGTTTTATGATGTTTGTGTATGTTTTCCTTTTTTATAGAAATGGCTTACATAAATACGGATTTCTTCTCAGATGTGGATGATAACATGTATGGCATATTACGAAGACATCTCAGCATACCATAAATATTGTTTACAGACACGAGAACATAAAAAGAGGCACTTCTTGAAACAAATTTTTACTTGTACTTCTGAATACAAGAGAAGATTGCAGAGGTACTGGCTTTAACAGTCGCCTTTCAAGATATAGACCCTAAACATGCTTCATATCAAATCATGTATAGCCTCGATTATTAAATAACAGACATTAAGAAAACCGTTCTATCGAGGTTTTACTTTCTTACGTGCAGTATTTACAACACTTTTCACTCATCGTAGATAGCTGCCTCGGTATTTTAATTTATCGGGCTCAAGACACGGTCCGGAGAGTCGCCAGTTTAGAACACAACTGACCTGTTTTTTCTAGGTAGTGCTGAGAGTTAATTCTCTCGGGCATTCTTCACGCCGGCGCAAGGACGTTCACAGGTCCGCACACGAGCAGAAGTAAGCACCTTTATGATTTGGTCATGCTCGTTCCGGACTGTGAGGTATATAGGACTGCTTAAGGCCAATTCACGCATCAGTGCAGTGCGCAACAATCCGTGCAAGCTTCGAGAGGCCGAAAGGTTGTCACGTGGTCTCAAGTGAGACTCTAACACGACGCGCTTCGCTAGATAATTTCGAGGGATAAATTGGCCCTCAATGCAAGGCACCAAGACGGTAAAGCGGACAGAAGTTTCCGCCTGACTAACCCTCGCCGAATTATATTAATAACGCGGGAAGGTAATAGCTTTAGGTTATTAAAAAGAAAAGAGAAAAACCGGACAAAGTCTTGTCAAAGAAATAGCCGCACTTCCAGATTTGGCTTGGTTCAAGGTCACTTTAAGAACAAAAATTAAAACCTTTAATATTTTGGGAAATAATTTACGCACAATGCAATTATCCTTGTAAAACTGAGTTGAAATATTTAACTAAGAATAGAAACGATCGGTGGAAGTTCGCACTTGTCCTGTGGAACGTGAAATTCGTGCACTTATGCGTCATGTCATAGTTTGTACTAAATTCCCTCTTTCCGATTCTGCGCAACGTTGAAGTAAATTACAGTAGGCTTGTTATGAATGTCCGAGCATATGCGCACGAAATATAAAAGCTTAGCAGGGAGCCATTTTCACTGATATAAATAAATGCGAGGAAAATGGGTGAAGTAAGCGTTAGTGACTTAAACAACTATAGACCTATTTCTGTACTTTCAGTTTTTGCAAAGATAGCCGAACATATTACAAATAAAAGACTTGTTAAGTTTTTGACTTTCGATAATATTTTAGTAAAAGAACAATTTGGTTTTCAGAAAAATGAATCGCCAGAAGTTGCACTTCTTGTAATTAAAGAACAAATTCTCGAGAACATATAACAAAGAATATACACGCTTGGTATATTTCTAGATCTCAAGAAGGATTTTGATTGCGTTGAACATGAAATACCTTTACAGAAACTTCCGTTTTGCGGAATGCGCGGTATTTTCTTATCACTGTTTAAAAGTTACCTCACTACAAGAACGCAATAGACAGTAGTAAATGGAGTAAGGTCAGACGTTCAGTACATAAAGTATGGGGTTCCTCAGGGGTCTATTCTTGGTCCTATATTATTTTTGTTATATATTAACGACATTGTAAACATACATGGCAGTTCAAATATAGTCCTATATGCAGATGATACAAATATTTTGTTTTCTGGCTCGGACATTGACGACCGCTTTGGAAAGGCAAAACAGTGGTTGCGGGGATTAGATCTATAGCTTAGATCTAATAAACTCTATTTAAACATAGAAAAAAGAAAGTACTTACTGCTTAGACCAAAACGAATAATACCACCTTCCAATTTCCAATTAAAATTCTAGGACTCTTATATTCAACCCTTTTCAACAATTCGATTCTTGGCGGTTTTATTCCATGAAAACCTATCATGGACGTCACATACTGATTCTTTGAGAACAAGTCTTTGTCGAGCTGTTGGTGTCTTAAATAGATTAAGATATTATCTTCCAACAAAAGTGAAACCTCAAATTTATTTTGCCCTTCTGCAATCCCGCATAAGTTACTGCCTTTTAGTGTGGTCAGCAACATTCCAAACAAATCTAGACAATATTGTATCCAAACAAAAGCGAGCATTGCGAGCAATTGGTAACGTAAAACTTCTTAAAAGTGCCACACCATATTTTAGGACATATCAAATAATTAACGTAAAAAATCTACATAAATACAAACTATCACTTTAACTTTGGCGGCAATTTCAGCTCGATAAATTGGTGTTCCATACCAAGTACCACGCGAAAGATAGCCCGTATAATTTAAGGCGACATTTATTAACAAAATCGCGTTCGCGAACGAATTATGGAGACCAGAGGTTAAGTTTTCTTATATCAGACCATATAAACCAGTACCCATATAGTTTAGCTTCATTGGTGTGCATACGATCACTCTATCAATATAAAAATATTGTAAAAGAACATTTACTCACAGGGAAATAAAACTGGATGTGTTTTTAAGCAAAATGCTTAGAATGATAACTAGCAATGGTCCTTTCACGTCATGTTTTGCGATGCATTTGTTTCGTTTTGTATAGATTTTTAGTTTGGAGGTGAAATTGTATCATTCCTCATTTTGTTTATGTTTTTGCTACCGTTGCTGCCAAACGGGTGGCATGGCCCCGTCAGGCATTTATGTCTTTAGCTATGTCCCCTAAGACATCTCTGTAGCGTTATGTCTTAAATAACGGTATCAACAACAATCAACAACAATATTTCGAAGAAAGAAAAAAAAATAAAGGAGAAAGAGAGAGAAGGGGGGGAGGTGCAGCCGCGTGTAAACACGCCTGTCGCTCCAGCTGCGACGTTCGCAGCGCCGAGAATACTTGCGTCCTTGCTCGGCATGACTGTGACGTCCTGTATGACAAAAGCATTTTATGCCTTCGGCCAATGACCTCTGCCCGCGAAAGGGCTGCGATTTTTTCTTTCGTATTTTCCTGCAGACACATTCGATTAAATTGAGGCGATTATCTATCAGGTCGTCCAATGCCTTAGCGCTATTCGGTCGCATTTCGCACATAGACACACCGACGATAAGATAATCCGATCGGGAACACGAACAGCCATCGGCGACGACCATGTACGGAGCAGCCTGCACTTCCGGCAGCTGGGGAGCGAAAACCAGGTTGAGGTGAGAGCTATCGCTTCACCTTGGCGCTCGCCTTCGCTGGGCCGGTTACGTGCGATGCATTCTCAAGTCCGGAAAGAGAGCACCCCACGTCGTTCCCAGTGACCTCTACTACGGTCGCGGTCTGGTTAAAGGAGCCGTGCAACGATGGGAATCTTTCCCACTTTGCACAAGCTTACTTACTGGCACTGGTGGGACCCGTGACATACTCGCACGCAGCGCCCCTGACCGAGAAGCTTTGCCGCCGCGTAATATGCTCTTTTCAAAACCCCATCAAGCAACATTGGCGATCGCCATTTCTTGGGCACGAAGCGTGTGATTGGA